TTGATGGAAAGCTGTATTGATGGATGGATGTATGGATGATGGATGGATGGACAGATGATGGACAGATGATGGATGGATGGATAGATGGATGGGTGTATGATGGATGGATGACAAATGATGGACATATAATGAATAGATGATGGATGGATGGATAGATGGCTAGATGGATGGATGGGTGATGGATGGATGATGAATGGATGGATGAGTGCCACTGTTTGTTGGGCTGTTTTGCTGCTGGTTTTATACCTGGTTGTTGCTCAGTGGTTCTCAGACTTCACTGTTTTTGAGGCGCATAATAAAAGCTAGAGGCTCTCAACTGTTGTTGTTTACAGTAAACAGACATCACCAAAAGGTGATCTGACAGAGTCTCATCAACCCTTCTATATGTTATTAATCCATTTATGACTTCAGTTTATATCTCATTGTAACAGATAGGGTCACATATGGTGTTAGCAATCACTTTTAAAGTAAATTTGTGTTCTAAAGGACTACCCAAACTCCCCCGATTGGTGTTTCACAATTTTTTGTGGGGTCCTGACCAACTTTAGGGACCACTGGTCTAGCTAATTTATCTGAACCTGTCTGCTCCAATCTTGTTCACACATACACACTTCTTGTAGTATTGTTGTATGTATTTCATCTGCGAACATGTGCCCATGTATGTTTATAGAGGGAGTGGGGTAGAGAAACCCCACTTGTGAATGGCATTTTTGCCCAGGTCATCCCCAGCTCTGCACAGCCTTGTTTGTTTTTGCATGTGGGCAGGATTGTCATATCAAGAACGCTCGAGGCTCAGATGATGTTATTTTTCACAACACCCAATGATGAAAAACATAGCGCTCATTTCATTCTTGCTGTCATCAAAAACAATTTAAAAAGCCAGAGAAGGCTGTGTGCTGGTAGAAGAACCAAGCAGAAAGATACATGAGCGTGTACAAGGCCAGCAGTACCATGCCGAAGGCAGGAGAGTAAAATGACAAAAGAAGGTAAGCTAATGCTAGCTAATGCTAGCTTGTTTACAGTTATTTGAAGCTGCACGTTCAACTGGAGCAGTGAACCAATCAATGGCCTGCAATCTGCTGATGCCAAATCTTCAGCGCTAGTTGAGTTTGATGGAACCCCGGGTCTCTGGGTCCCAAAAATCTACCTGGAAGTGGGCTGTACCGCCCAATGCAAGAACTCAGACCCCAGGCTGGAACCCAGGCTGGAACCCAGGCTGGAACCCAGGCTGGAACACAGGCTGGAACACAGGCTGGAACACAGGCTGGAACCCAGGCTGGAACACAGGCTGGAACACAGGCTGGAACCCAGGCTGGAACCCAGGCTGGGCCGGGCCTTACAATGCAGAATGGCTGAGTGTCGCTTTTCCCACTGAAAACCCAAATGAACCCATGCAGTCATGAGCCCATTATACCGAGCCTGCATTTCTCAGAACAGAATCGGCATCAGTGCTACGAATGAGGAAAACAGTTTTTTGTAAATCTAAATCTAAAACTTAAAATCTCTTTGTAATTCTTTCAAGATCAAACTCTTGACAAAACAACCCATTAAAAATATTATCATTATTGTCTTTGTCAGCCGTTTATGGGTCTGATGAAAAATTCTAAACGATCCAATCAATCATTTTGGAAGTTTTTCTTTGACCACGTTTGGCTTCTGAAACTGCACCCTGACAGATCCATCAGGGACCTTTCAGGACATGCAGCAAAGCTCCTACATTTCTCTCTCCAAACAACCCCCCCCCACACCCCCCCCCACCACCACCTTTCCTCACTTTCTAGCTACATAATAATCATGCTGAAGTGTTGGGTAGAGTTTTCAATTAAACTGCTTTCGTTCACATTGTGTGTGCGTGCACGTATGTGTGTATGTCTTTGTTAATGTTACTTTGTAAGGCTCATTTTTCCAACTTATACTACTACATTGTGAGGACCAACTGTTCATTATGGGGCCCGGGCTTTGGGCTTCAAAAGAAGTGCCGTTGGTGGGTTAGGGGTTAGGTTTAGGACGAAGGTGTGAATTGAGGATGGGTTAGGTATGTACAGGTAATGGTTAAGTTTATGGTTTGGTATGTACTAGTAATGGCTAGGGTTTGGTATGTACTGGTAATGGTTATGGTTAGGTATGTACTGGTAATGATTAGGTTTAGAGTTAGCTATATACTGGTAATGGTTAGGGTTAGGTATGTACTGGTAATGGTTAGGGTTAGGTATGTACTGGTAATGGTTAGGGTTAGGGTTTGATATGTAATGGTAATGGTTAGGGTTTGGTATGTTCTGGTAATGGTTAGGGTTTGG